GGCCGCCTCGGGAAGCCGCGGGGCGGCGGTGTGTGCGGGCAGGTGCCTTCGCGACGCCGGGGCTGTAAGAGCCTGCCGTTCAGTGTGTCTGTAGGGACCTCCGGCAGGGAGGTTTGAGAAGGCCTGCGGCCCTGGTACAGGGGGTCGTGAGCGTGCACGCTGGGAATCGAAGCGTCACGCAATCATGTTAGCTTTTGGTGGCAAAGCTGCTGCGATTGCGCTCTTTGCCTTCGCCTCGCACCCTGTGAGGATAGTTGCAGCCAGCGCAATTTTCTTCACGCTTAGGGAGAACAGAAAGCACGTGTGCAGCCGGCTGCAGCGGCTCAGCCGCCTTACACACCGACCTCCTCAGAGGAGGGAACTTCAAGCGCTGTGGAAGCTGTTTGAAATCCCAAGATGCAGGCAGAGTACCTGAACTCACATTCGCACTCCTGTATCTATCTGCTTTAGAGTTTTAGACGTTTGTGTCCAAAGCTACTGCTTTACCCTGGCAAGAATGGTCGCAGTAATACAGTTTCCTAATGTGGACACTGTTAACAGAAGACTTGCAAACGAAAAACAAGCATCTTGGCATCGCCGCAGCAGCTCCTCTGGCATACTGTGTTCCCTCAGCATCCCTACAGGAAATTTGAGATAGTTTGTTTTGTTACTAACACTTTCGCTGTTGCACTCCTGTACACCCTTTCCCCCATCAGTGCTTGCCTCATGCATTCAGAAATGCCATTTAAGAGAAAGACAGTGGTCCTAACCCATCATTTCTTTGACTAATGACAGGGTGGTTTCTCTGGTGGGACCTTCAAAATAAGTAATTTTTCCTCCAAATGACCGTCACCCACCATTCATTGCATTTGTTCTTGTGTGCAAGTAGTAAGCACCACGGATTTGTGAAGCTGCCAGCAGAAAAGCAGCATGAATTCTATTACCTGTCTCTGCTGGCCTGCAATAGCGTGGACATCTGCAGGCTTGGATGTATGTGAGCTGCTGCTCTGTGGCCTGAAGTGGTGACTCATTCTTCATTTTGTGATTTTTCAGGATTTTCCACAAAATTGAAAAGGTGCGCCAGTGAATAGCCCACCTTCAGCTGCACAGTGCACCGATGGAAAGGAGTAAAGGGGTCACAGTGCACGCAACTCTTCTCCGTTCCCAGACTCAATCTGTTAAGTCATACATTGTAGAACTTGCTCAGGTCACAAGACTAAACTGCTAATAACCAGTTTGTTACCATCTGTTTCCTCTCAATGTAGGTTATGTTTTTATTCAGGGTAGTTTTTCCTGACTGTCTGTTTATACCTTTAAGAGCAGGCTTATGATGAATCAAAATAAACATAAACCACTTTTAAAATGCATTAAAAATAGGTCGCACCAGTTTAATTAGGCCAAGTTTAAATGTCTCCCGAAATTAAACCAGTGCATAGTGGCCACTAAAAGTACTGAAGGCCCAAATGTGTGGTCAGGGTATATGAACGGGAGACTGTGCAGTAAGTGAACTTGAAAGCACGGTAGTACGCATAAAAAAATATTACGTGTATGCAGAAGATCTACACATCAAGAATTTGCTTAGCAAATTAGTATTGCTTTTACGGAATGCTACAGCTGAATTAAATTTGGACTTTTAACAAATGTTTCTACCTGGAAATTTAATTAAAACATAGTAGACTATTACTCAATTTGCTATTGCACAAAACCAAAGAACATTCATTTGGGTTTGAAAAATACCAGAATCTATCCAATATTACTTTGTTAAGAGACCCACATTTTATTAATTTTATTAGAGAAGATTCCATGCTTCCTTCACTTATTTGCTCTGATCCTGGGCTTCATTTGCATACCACTATCTCCACAGGTTTTATAAGAGAACAGGAAGTTAGACATACGGTTCTGCAACTACTCCTGACTATGAAAAAAGTTTTAGTATACATTTTTCTAACGCTACCACCTAACTCTACCACCCAGGGAGGAAAACCTTATTGCTTTGCAACTTTAGAAGATACAAAGTAATCTTACCACCGGAAGGAGAAAATGGCAAGTCATCATTTATAAGACAGGTTTCAAAACTTAAAAAATTACCTACTTTTAATTACAGTTTTAAAGTACATTTGTGGGTGGGTAATCTGTAAAACACGAATTCATATTTCTTCCCACTCACCTCTTCTTAACTGAGCCATTTCATATATATAAACACACAGAATAAGGAAGTATAATAGAATATTTTATTTAATAAAACATGATGTATACTCATTCACGTTGGACTCCTTTCAAGTCAAGAAGTGATGACATACATAAGAATGTATATAAACTTGTTGATGAAACTGGCTTTGGGCTTGTGCTGTTACATAGGGAATGAGACTTTTAGTAAAGTACAGAATCTCTGTGAACTTTTGTATTCATTCTTTTGTAAAAATATTTTTCAAAGACATGCTTTTCATCATAAAAAGCATATTTCTGAACATATTTGTTGTGCTCTCATTTTTAGGAGTTAAATATGTGTAGAATAAAAAAAAAAAAAATCTAAGAGTATGTGTTCATCTCATCTGATCTCTTAAAATACAATCTTTCCTGAATTACTTTTTGTTTGAAATAGAGAATGTCTATTAGGAAAGTTAACTTCCAACCATGGTTTTAAAATTGCCTGTGAAAAAAAATCAACCACAAACCTTGTTAAGTTGTTCACCTATCAACACTGTTAAACCCTATGCCCTGTTCCCAGCCTAAGTTTTTCATTAATAAATCCTTACATAATAGAAGTACCACTGCCATGTTAAGCTGCAGGGAATAAAAACAGTTCATGTAGACAAGTATATTTTTGTTTTCTAAAGAAGTGAAAGCGTTTAGAAAGGTGCAGTATATGACAGGGGTTTCTTTCAAATACACACTTTCAGTGCATTCAAATACAATTTAACTATCGTAAGTTTAAAATTAATACAAAACCGGTACCTATCAGGTTTAGATAAAATTTTGAGATAACTTCTTAAAATGAATTTACAGAACTCTTTACATATATAATTGAAATTCACTTTACACTATAAAAATATTCTTTCAGCTGGTGATTTTAAGTATGAATTAGAAATTTTAAATTCCACAAATTGGAGAGCACAAAGATGGCTAGAGTAACCAATAGCTGTTCTAGAAATAGGTCTACATTTAGTTTCATGTATTTCAGTTGGAACGGAATTTCTTTTTTATATACGGCTTATAGAAATTTAGGAGCTTTTGTTTTGAAGTTAATTGTAATTATAAATACTTGTCTGTGCTCACCTAGGCAAGACTTGGTAGAGAGGCTTGGGAAAATTTGACGTCAGGAAGGTTCCAATTTAACCCTTAAAAAGTTTTTCAGGGGATGCTTTCCTATTCCTAACTATTTGTTTCCTTTCTTTTATTCATTCTGGTCAACTTCTCTCTTTCAGAAACTTAAAAGTAAACTATGACAGTTTCCTGCCTGAATTCTCCCCTGAAATGCTCATCTACTGCATCCCAAGCTCAGAGAAATGTCCGTTTCTGTTTCCTGTTCCACCACACAACCTTGGAACCCTAATTCTCTAAATGGGCATCTTCAACTACAATTTTGAGAGAGGCAGATGAGGCAAAACTTAGGAAGATATTGGCCAGAAGCAAAGCCAGATGGCTCTTCGGGGCAAGTGGTTCTATTTCAAAGTATTCTTCCTTCCCTTCTCTGTGCTTTTCTGTCAGTATCACAGGCCTCCCTGATACACCCTTTCTTCCTTCACGTCACGGTGTCCTCTCTTCATCAGCCAGGGTCCCGATCCTCCCCCAAAGCTTTTTCTCCTCTTCCAAGCCCCATCCATACCTGAAGCTCCTTCTATAAGGAGGTAGGAGCAGGAAAACCATGTA